GGGCTCAGTGGCTCAGTCTGTAATCCCAGCACTTTGGGAGGCCAAGGTGAGTGAATTGCCTGAGCCCGTGGGTTCGAGACCCCCCTGGGCAACTTGGCGAGACCTCTGGGTGACAGAGAAAGACTCCAATTCAAAACAATAGGTGAATTGAAATGATGAGTCTGTGGCCAAAGAGAGCAGGATGCTTGACATAGGAGCAGTCAGTCCACTTCGATGCTGATTACAAAGTGGGTGGTCAGAGGGGTGGAAGCAGGGGTGGAGGGAAGCCATTGGCAGGGGTGTTGGCATGCCAAGTAAGGAACGACAATGACCCAGGCGCCACCATGAGGCCTGCAGAGGAAACATTGGTGGGCACTGAAGATACCATGGCTTCCAGGGAACTCGGGTGTTTAAAGGGTGACAGAGGAGAAATGATCGGAAGTGGCATTGCGCTGTGAGAAAGACCCTCCTGACCCCAGACCACGACATGCGGGGGCAACAGAGGGAGGCAGAGTGTCACCTGAGGGGGGCAGGGAGGGCGAGACTGCCCGAGATAGACACCTCTGCAGGTCAAGGTGAGGAGAGGTGAAAATGGCGGCAATTCTCTGATGAGGGAGTTTAGGAAGCACAGGGTGGTTTTGTAAGGGTGAGAATGGGAAGGGTAGGACATGGGGTCAGACAATGCGTGCACAAGCAGCATGGAGGTGAGTGGGCATGTGGTGAGGGGTCCTAAGGTGCCAGCTTTCAACCGCACTTCGGCTTTGCCTGTATTTTAGGTCTCTGCCCATCTTCCAGAATGCATAAGCTCTTTGAGGGCAGGGACAATGTGGTCTATCTGCTTTATACCGCCTGCCTTCTATCTGAGTGTATTACCTTCCTATAATCAGACCAGAGGTAAACTTGCAGCTGGAAAGTATCACACAAGATTGGTACCTTCCTAATTAATGCGGAGAAAGTCCAGTTTGGCAACTCTGGGCCCATCTCTGTCAGGCTGGAAATCTGCTCAGAGGGTCCTGCCACCTTAGAATGCAAGGCTGGGTGAAAAGATGTCCCCATGACCACAGGGAATTGGAAAGCAAGTTCAGGAAAAGGACAAATAATACAAACTACCCCTCCTCCCTTCACCTTGGGGAGGTGAATCTCCTCTTTCTCTCTAATTTACTTTCTAAATAAACTATCTTCCCTAATCTAAATAATAATAATAATAATAGTAATACAAAGTAGTCAAAGTATGAGAGCGAGACAAAAAATAAATTTCAACACAGAACGGGCAGAGCTGGCAAGCTAACTGGTCTAATCCCCATCCTCTGCCTCTTGGCAATTTTATCAGAAAAATGGCGGCTGTAGTGAATTTGCCATCTGCAATTACACTGGCACAGAAGAAAGGACGTGTACTTGCAAGCCAAACTATGTCGGAGATGGATTTACCTGTCGTGGCAGTATCTATCAGGTAACTCAAGGCATGTTTCCTTAAGGTAAACTTGACTTCCCTAAATGTGCTAAGAATCCAGCTAGCTAAGGAATATTCAAGAGCTTTGCAAAATATGAAGCTCTGTAAAAACATGAAAAGCAATTTGTACATAAATTGGCAATGTAAAGAAATGTTGTCTATCCATGGGATTCATTTAACCTGGGCAGAGAGTTACGTAGCCATGAAGATCAACTGACAGTTCTGGAGTCAGAAACACCTGGGATTGGATTCAATTCTGCCAGTAACACTGTGACTTTGAGCATATTACAGCCCCTCTCTGTGTATCCATTTTCTAATTTGTAAAAGAAAATAATAATGCTACCAGTCCCATCTGGTAGTTCTAACAATTAAATGAGATCATGTGTGTAAAAGACAGAGTACACAATAGCTCAGAGGCCTTACTATGACATGGATTGCCATGTGTGTATGTGTCCGTGTGTGCCTGTGCACAATACTTGTACGTGTGTGTCGTGTGTATGTGTGTGTGCGTCCACCCACGCACCTGTACTGAGCACAGAGGATGAGGTGGTATGATATATTTGCAGGTTTCTGCCTACTATAAAGTAAACTCAATTATTTAGTTTAAAGTACTGAGAGTATTCTGGCTGATCAAATATTCTTGTCAATAGACCAGCCAAATCTGCCATTTTTCAAAATATTTGAACTTTTGTATTTTTTTTTTTTGTAGCAATCGGTTCTCGCTATGTTGCCCAGGCTGGTCTCAAACTCCTGGCCTCAAGCAATCCTTCCACTTCGGCAACCTGAAAATTTTTGAACTTTTAAAGTACAGGTGCTTCTGGAAAGCACTGAACCTTCCTTTGATAAATCAGATGGCAGTTCCAGAAAGGTTGTGGAACTCAGTGTGTCCCTGTGGTCATTCTGGACATTCACCATAAGCCTGTCAATGAGGCCCCCAAAAGACCCACTGTTGCAGCTTTCCAGTGGAAGGGGTGGCAGATACAACCTTAGAAAGACCATCCTGCGACAACTCTGTGCTACTCCTGTGTATAATTCACAGGCATTAAGCAAAGCTACCTTGTTTTGTTTGCAGGAGCTTCCCAAGAACCCAAAAACTTCCCAGTATTTCTTCCAGTTGCAGGTAAGAATACATGTGTCTGTCCAGCCAGAAGAGCTCAGCCTCAAGCCAGATACAGGATAAGCCTGTAGTTTCCAGAGCTGGTAAGGGCAGAAGAGAGTCAGGACCCCGGAACTCTGGAATTTTCTACATAAGAATGTAGTATATGAAAAAAAATCCCCTCACACCAGTGAAGAAAAAACATGTTACCAGGGCAACTCGTTAACACTTTGAGTGAAAATTATTGAGTTGATCTTTCTACTCATCGTATATCTGAATCAGTTCCAGATGTATTGAAGAATAAAATATTAAAAGCTAAAGGAATAAAATCATTAAAAACTAAAAGAAGGCTGGGCATGGTGACTCAAGCCTGTAATCCCAGCACTTTGGGAGGATGAAGTGAGGGGATTGCCTGAGCCCACGAGTTTGAGAACGGCCTGGGCAACTTGGCTAGACCTCATCTCTACAGTAAATCCAAAAAATTAATCGGGCATGGTGGTGCGCACCTGTAGTTCTGGCTACTTGGAAGACAGAGGCGGAAGGATCACCGGAGCCCAGCAGGTTGATGCTGCGGTGGCCGTGAGTGTACCACTGCACCCCAACCTGAGCAAAGGAGTGAGACTCCAACCCCCCCAAAAAACTAAAAGAAAATATATTCCTAGTAACCATATGGTCTTAGAATTGCAAGAAGACAATTGTAACAGTTAAGTAAATCATCATAATTTTAAAATTTGTATCATTACACCAATTATGTAACTTATTAGTCTATGGAAGAGACACCAGAAAAGAATACCTAAAAATCATACAAGCTGCTTCAAGTGGTGGAATTATGGGGTAGTTCTTACTTTCTTCTTTACAATGTATTTTCAAAATCCTGAATACAATAAGTATATGTTAATTTTTTTTTTTTTTTTTTT